AGGCCTGTAACTAGCTAGGGTCCCAGGTTTGTTGGAACAGTTTTGAAATGCCCACTGAATGAACAGAAGAAAGTGATCGTACGTGAACACAGTCAAGTCGATGCTGCCGATGGATGTGAGCATGTCCGGAGTCCCATGAGCGAGAATCCCCTTCTTGATTTGGTTCAAGCCGTTTCTGTATCCAGCTTTAGTGGATTTGGACACCCGCATACCTCGGATGTCCTGCAGTGATGTGTCGTGCCTCGTGGTCGCAAACATGCCGGTACTGGAATTTTTTGAAAGTGGCCAATTAAATTTTGCGCGACACGTGTCGCGCAAAGTCGTTTCATTTTTATCAAAATGAAATATCCTGCCATTTATATAGTCTTGGACCCAAGATCTTTGCCGGAAACGGAATTTGCGCGACGCCCATCGCGCAAAAACTGTTTTATGGGTTTCGACTCTAAAAACGGATAATTCAACACGAAACAGAGGTCTTTCCAACAAGCACATAAACATCTATTTTCATAGTATACACCTATTCCCGACCAATGCGAGTACGATTTCCAAGCAAATTCAAATAGATCACTAAATATTCAATTATAGAGCGATACATGAGTTGACACGCGTGTCCAATTTTTATTGGATGCCGCCAAATTTCACGCGCCACTTCCAGCGTGCTCCACTACACACACTTCACATACATCACTATAGAATTTGACACGCGATGGTTCTCAACATTAACACCATGCTCGAGCGCTTGCACGTGCAAAGCGACTCTGACCAGCTCTACCTGGAGGAGAGCAACGATGTCTACGGCGACGTCGTGGCTGAGGAGAACGACGCCACGACGTACAACAATCCCGTAATCGATCGCGTCATTGAAGACAGCGGTGTTGACGGGTTTCGCACGCTGACCAACTTTACCCCCGACGAGTTCGACACCATTTGGAGCGTCGTTGAGATGGCTCTCCAAGCGCGCTGGCACGACGGCCGCGGCCGCAGGCCCTTGTCAACGCCGAAGGATGCCCTCTTCATGACCTTGGTCATTCTGAAGTACTACCAAACGTGGCAGAAGCATGCCCTGGACTTCGACATTAATGCCCCAACACTCGAGAAAATGATAATACGTGTGGTCGACGTTATCTCTCCAATTATCTACGCCCATTTCGTCACGATGCCAACCATGGAGGCCCTGCGTGAACACAGCACGACGTTCCGCAACTACCCGTATGCGAAGTACGCAACCGACGTCAAGTTCCAACCATCCCACCGTCCGTCCGGTCGCTTCGGGGAGCAAAAACACTACTTTAGCGGCAAGCATAAGCTCTACGGACTCAAGATCGAAGCATCCGTTTCTGCGCAAGGTCTGCTCGTGGATATGGGTCCCCACGAACCTGGATCGGTTGCCGACCTCACAATGTTCCGCAAGCGGCTGGATGTGCACGTAACGAACCTGAAGAAGACACCTACGGAAGCAACCGTGAATGACAATGGTGAGCGCTTCCAAGCATTCTCAACCATGTGGGCGGTATTTGTAGACAAGGGTTACTATGGCCTGACTGCGTCGGTCCGCGCCATCCACCAAAAGAAGCGTCCGTCGAATGCTGCCCTTGACCGGCCTGACCTCAAGCGTAACTCGGTGGTCTCCTCTGATCGCGTCATCGTCGAAAACTTCTTCGGTGGCGTCTGCACGCTGTGGAAGATTTCCTACAGCACCTTTGTTTGGGGCGAGAAAATATACGATGGCATTCAACGACTGACCTTCGCGTTGACCAATTTCCATGTTGGGCTCATTCCCCTTCGGGACGACGACCTCCGCCAGAACCGTGTGGTTCTTGCTCGATACGCGCGCATGGCGGAGGAGAAGAAATCTCAGCGTGCAGCGACACAATGCCGCTACATCCACCGTCGTGCAGAGAGACTCGCAACTGAGTCGATGCGTTCTTCTTTGGTTGCCCGTGGCGCTTTCCTCTCTTCAACCGTCAACACCCGCCGCTAGAATAAATGGCAATTTACACTTGGTATTTGTATAAAATATGTATTTTATATTTTCAGCATGCTTGTTTTTGATCGATGATCTTGTTTTGAGCAATCATAGAGCTCCATTGGAAATAGCTGAATCTATTCCTCACTGCCAAGTCTTTCTTCCAAGCGTCGATCCCTGACTAGAAGAGTATGCCAATAGTTAGATGCAAACGTCTTTCGTGTGACGTAGTGTCCTTCACAAACTCAAAGCCGAATTCGGAGATAGATCGGTATTTGAACTGGTGATCTATTATAATTTGTCAGTAGTATGCGACGTACTAACATGACATGTACTATTGTCGATTTTCTTCAAATTTCCCAATTTTGCATGGTTCGTTCAATCGAGCACAAATAGAGCCGAGACATCTGATTGGCAATTATCCACTCCGCCCTTTCCAGTAGAATCTCGAAAATGGATTTTAGCCAATCAACGACAAGTAATTTCGGATTGACCAATGGGAGAGATTTGTGCTCGATTCGCTCGGCGAGGATCGATTGAACGGGGTCCGGTAATTCATACCGAATCTCCAATATCAAGAGTACTATTAATACATTGATGTTCATTTCTTGCCATTTACTCCACTCTCGTACCGAGTAGTAATCATAATCACTACTTGCCCATCGAAGGGAGAGGGAAAATAGCTCAATGGTAGAGCATCGGTTTCTTTTTCTTAACTCAAAGGTTGTGGGTTCGATCCCCGGCTTCCCCATTATTTCCACAAGGATTTATCAGTCCCTCCCCTTATATGAAGGGCTGCGTACTGTCACGGTGATCAATTTGCCTGCACTCATGTCTTCGAACGTCTTCCACGCTACGTTTCTCTACGCACCGGCATTTTCCACCAATCATAAGCATACACTTTCGCCTAAGTTTCAGTCTCCTCGCACCTACCCATCGATCAGTTACGGAAGAACCCAGGCTGGCACACCCATATGAACGGGGTGAATCCGTTGCAACACAACGTTGATTAATTGAGTTTGGATTATCATTTTTTTAAGACATTCCTCCGCGAGGGCTGACACTAGAACCACATGTTATGGAACCGCTTCGCCAATTGTAACGCGCCTGCTCGACGAGGGGCGGTGTGTAATCTTCGATTTTTACTTCGCTCAACGCTTCATACCTCGTGCTTCGACCGATCTTCTTCGAAGTTCGGTCCTCGTCTTCGTACGCGGCCCTTGTTATCCGGATTCCCCAGGGGAGGGACGGATAAATCCTTGCGGAAATAATCTGGGGAATCCGGGGATCGAATCCACGACATTTGAGTTAAGAAACCGATGCTCTACCACCTGAGCTATTCCCCCCCTGCAACACAACATTGAGTTCCGTTGCATAAGCTACAACTTTCATCCTTAAAGTGATTAGAGAGTCGTCCCAAGGAAGCAGCACTTTCTTCGTTGCGCGGCCGGGTCCGTCAGCAAAGTGGAATCGCACGAATGCCATCACGATTCCCGCATTCCACCATCCCATGGGGTTGCCGTAAATATGGCACTTGAATCCGTCCTGCAAGGGCTACACTTGCTTCCCCACCTGCTTGCCAAAACCATGGCGCTGCGACAGATTCTCTTCGACGGTGGCCTTGATCTTGGACGCCGTGGTCTTGAGCACCAAAATGAGCGGGTGCTTCTTGCCGTGGTCTCGCCAAATCTAACAGTAAGGTGGAGATTTTATTATTTAACGTACAATTAATGTAGTTGAACCCAAAATCACATACGTTAAATACCGATTTCATGCGTTTTATCACTGCAGTGGGAGGTTAAAGGTCCCAACTACCTCTGGATATTATATACGGATAAGAGTCACATACAAATATCAAGATACACCTCAGCGGCCACCCCTTATGGCCAAATATCCAAGCGCCCATGTAAAATACCGCTAGGTTAAATATCTATTTCTGGGTCAATTCATCACCTAATTTGAATCTGACAGTGAGAAGTAGAATTTCTTCACTAACTTCGGTATCTAGACGGAGATTTCCATCTAGACTCCTCTATCTAATAATAATTTTGACAAGCAGCAGCACATATTAAATGTGTTAGGGCTCCTCTGGATGCCACGAATTATGGCATAAAATGACGAAAATCTCCATAAAATGGCGAAATGACAAAGTCGCGAAGTTGTTTCGTTTGGATATCACAAAATCCAAAGGAAATATTACAAAATTATAGGTAGAAAGTTCACGAATTATGGCATAAAAAAATGGACCAAAATGGTCAATTTCTCATGCAAAGACAGTCCATGTGACCACTTCAACATCAATGTTCTGTCAAAATGGCGCATTTCGAAAACGGCAGCAACCCCACAGCACACAGATGGGCGTTTGGACCACCACGTTGGACGAGATCGTGCAGCAGTCCACCATACGCATCACCGGACATTCGAAATGTCTCCTCGAAGGCATCCTCGTTTTCTTGCAGTATTTTGGCAACCCACAAAGCCCCCGACAAGATAGAGACCCGCTTTGACGTCTTCAAGAGGTAGGCGGAGTAGTTGTAGACCAGGTATGACATCAACATCATGCGACGTCACTTGAGGCGCCGCCGACGAAGCAGGATCATCATAGTCGTGACCATCGTTTTGGCGCGCAAGTTTGAATCCGGATGAATCCAGACGGTTTCACCATCTCTTCTTTTTGTATTGCGTTAGTATATTGGACAAATTTTGTAAAATCTCATTTCGAATTTTGGCATATTTTTATGGCGTGGTTATCCAGAGGAGCCCTTAGGTTTTCCTCGCGCGGTAAACTAAACTCTAAAAGCATAGACGCAAATACAACTCCTCATTGGGAAAAACGTGAATTTTACCCGATAACACAACCTCAAAAGCAGGGACGCCTGAGTTAAAGCAGGGATGATTCATCCCTGCTTTTGAGTGTCCGTTCTTGCTTTTGCACGTTTTCGATAGAAATTAAGAAATATTTTTGATATATTTTTTCAAAATCCTCGAAAATAGTTCGGATAACATCCCTGCCTTAAAGCTTGGACGGTTTTTCACAGGCCAGCCCCTAATACATAAATCCTCCATGGGTTTTGGTTGTATCTCATGATACAATTTCTGGCGCATGGGCATGATTAAAACTGAACCCCTATCCGGATGCGAAATGATCCGGAAATGCTGTTTGCGGAGGTTTTGGTAGTCCGTTTACATGTTAACGGTAGTGATCGCAATGTCAAATTTACGGCCTGTTCCTGCATCTGCTTGGACCTCTTTTTATTTTTTGGCGAAATTTGGCGAAATATTGAATTTTCCAAATTTTGGATCCAGACAGATAATTTTTCATTTTTTGCCGACGATATCTCAGAAAATTGCCAAAATATCGAAGATTTTGCCTTTGACATCCAGACTCACCGTTGGTCAAATCCTGTAACACAAGGCTATTTATTCAACAAACAAGGCGAATTTTGAAAGTTTATAGCGAATTCACAATATTAATATATATATTATATCTAACAACACATGCGCAGATCACCGGCGAAAGAGCGCGGGGAGTTGTTGGTCTTGCCGAGTCGAGTCGAACGGGTTGTCCTTGGTATGATAAGGAGGAGCGATGCCCCTAGCCAGCATCGCCGTTGCCAGCTGGTTCACACACGCACTCGTGTACGCGAGGTCATCTTCCATGCGCTTCAACTTGTCCGCGTCGGCGCGTCCTATCGTGGCTTGCATCGTGGCCATCTGGGTGCCCAAGTGCTGCAGCTGCAAGTCGTGGTGCTTGGCGCGCAAGTCGTGGAGGGTGGCCGTGAGTTGTTTGATTTGCAGCGCCTGGTCCAGGTTGCACTCCATGAGGTCGTCCCAGTGGTGGTCGTCGTCGCCGTGAAGCGGACGGTGCTTAGGCCGCTGCTGTGACACCGTTTGGGCAGTTGCTTTGCCGTCGTCATTACTTCGACCGAGCAGCCACAACGACGACGCCATCGCAGAGACACTGGCCAGTACCGCCTGCGATGTCTGAATCAGCACACACCACGACTGCTGCGACACGTGCACTTTGGTTTCCACTTGTGAGACAACGTACGACACCACTGGCACATACGATGCCACGTGTCGAACGGTGGCGACCACGGGGGTCAGCGTCTGGACAACCGCCCTGGCTTGGGCCTCCTGCGCCTGCAGTTTGAGCTGCCGCTGCTTTTGCCGCTCCAGCTGGTCCAGTGTAAACGACGCTACTTGGATCTTCGCCACCAACGACTGCAGTTGCCCGTGCGCTTCGGTGAGCGAAGTAGGGGGCGGCGGCAGAGCCAAGTCCAGAGCTACTACTGGAGACTCCATTGCTTCGGGGGATGGGAGGACGAGGTTTGCACCAGAGGGGCAGCAAGAGTCCACACTGGACTTTATCATCGCGCACTGCAATTGCAGCTCCACGAGCTGGCTCGCCAGCGCCCGGATGTGCACCATGGCAAACTCGACCGACGGATCCGCAGCCACTGGCGCAGCAACGGACGGTTGGTGTTGTTGCTGAATCTGAAGTTGCTGTACTTGTTGCTTGAGCTGGGCATTCTCCACAGACAACGATACCATCAGCGAGTCCACTTCGCGGCGGGGAGGCACTTCGTCTGGACGGCAACTCGCGTCTGGTGGCATCACTTTGATGGGAGCAGCAGCGGCGGTGGCTGGCGGAAGAGGACAAGGAGCAGGCGCCTCGACGACGACCTCATGCACGACTTGTTGGCTGCTTTGAGCTGGGCTAGTGACTTGAACCGGCGGCAAGCTGTGCCTCGCCATGCTCTTGGCTTCTTTGGCTGCATCCAGGATTCGTTGATGGAACAAGCGCGTCCTCCGCCGATGCCGCCACCATCTTTGAATCCTCGGAATACCCGCCACCGTCTTCTTGTACTGTATCACAGCCAGGATCTGTCGCGCCCAGCTCTGCAGGACGGTGGCGCCTCGTCGTCGCCTCGCGCGATGCGCCAGCCGTTCCCGCATCCACATTTGGAGGCATCGCACGGCCTCCTTCATGCGCGCCGCTTGCTGCCTTGCCAAATGGCCACGAATATGCTGTTGTATCGTCGTGATATGGCGATGTCGGGTGACCAATCGAAACCGGCGCAGGTCATTGTACACGTCTTTTCGGAAAAATACTTTGGATTGGCCGATCTGGAACCCCACGGCGCCGCAACTCGCTAGAAACGCCGGTCGGTCACCCACCTTGCCTTGCTCGACAACTTTCTTAGCCACGGCAACCACGTCGTCTGAAATCGTCCCCGAAGAAGACCAACATGCGCGATGGAACTGCACCAGCACTGCCGCCGCCGTCCATTCCACGAGCGGCTTCAAATCTTGAGATTTCGCCGCCTTGTGTGGACCAACGCCGCTCGACAGAGTTGCCGTAGTTCGAGCCTTTTTCAGTTGGCTTGGTAGACGTTGTAGCCTCAAGAAGAACCCAAACGCGTCCAGAAACTTGGCGTGGTCGACGCGCACGGCGTACCCGGCGCGGGCGATCCGGACGGCTTCCAGCACCCCCCCGGATCGGAGTTGTTGGAGGACCCGCGGCGCATCCAACACTGTGGGCACGCCGGCGTCGTTGGACTTGATGCACCTTATAAAGCGGGCTTGGGTACGCCCAATCACAACGATCAGTTCGTCCAGTTGCGCTTTGAATTGCGACGACACGGACGCCGACCGCAAGTTGCTCGGCTGCCGGGTCAGACGTTGCGCAGCCACCGGTGGTTTCTTGCTCAGCAACGCCTGCACGATCGCATTAGTCGATGCCCCGCACAACTCAACGGCTTCCGCAGGCATCATGTCCTGGTTCTTCTCCAAGTACATGTCTTTCTCATACATGACGTTCCCAGCAAAGTGACAGATCACAAACTGACACTCGACGCGCTGGTGGTTGGTCGCTTGAAACGGCCGATCACTCGACTTGTCCAGTTGCAAACATCCCTTGGGCGGCACCGGTTCGGACTGCCGCCGCCGCGACTTCACGCTGGTCGAAGCTGCATGGTCGCCGTCAAAGCTTGGATGGAGTATGGTATCCAGGTACTGGCTGTACAGTTTGCCGATCCAGCCTTCGTTCGACCCCTTGGGCAGCATCCCTTCTTCATCTAATAGGCTCCACATACCCGTGGGCTTGTCTTCAAGGAGGCGCAGACACGGCGCGTTGTCGGGGTACTCAATGTACTTCCACTCGATGCCCTCAGCTTGGTACATGCGCTGTTCCTTGGCAAACACAAGGTCGTTGAACTGCGCTTGCAGCCGTTCGTTGGCGTAGTTGATGCACAGCTGCTCAAACCCATTCATGACGAGGTTTTCAAACCCAAATATATCCAAAATGCCAATCGAATTGGCAGACTCGGCGTCGTGTCGGATCACACTGCTCAGCCGCGCCACGATCCACTCAAACAGCCCGCCAAACAAACTCTGCGTAAGCGACTGCTTGGCTTCGGTCGCTTGGCCACTCGACAGCTTGACCATGATCTTGTCCTTGGTCGTCGTCACATGCCGAGTCACGAGCGCGCACGTGAGCTCCACCGACGACACCCCCAACAGCACCGCCGCCGTGTCCAGATGATGCAAACTGTCGGGGCGGATGCTCGCGTGCTCCATATTGGACGCGCCGCACGTCTCGCCGTCCAGCGCGACGTTGCCCAGATGCAGCAAAGCCGCTACGATGCCATAGATGCTCCGCTGTTCGTCCGCCAAGATGCCCATGTCTGTGAACGCCTGCGATGTTTCGTGGAACTGCGCGGCATCGTCGACGCCGTCCCGCCTTGTAAAGCACCCGCTTTCATTCAGCAAGTCGAAGTCCTCGGCATCCAGCAACGACAGGTGCGCCGCCAGGTCGTCGTCGGCGCCGGCGCACAGTTCGTAAAAGATGTGAAAGTTGCGCTCGTTGTCCGACTGGTGGCTCACGCGGATCTTCTCGAGCAGGTACACGCTCAACTTGGCGCCGACAATCGTGTGGTGCCGGCCGAATTGGAGCTCGATGAACTTGCCAAAGCGACTCGAGTTGTCGTTTCGAACGGTGCGCGCGTTCCCAAATGCTTCCAGGATCGGGTTGGTCTGCAGGATTTGGGTCTGAATGTCGTGCGACGACGCGGCCGTGGACGTCGCGCCCGACGATCGTTTTTTGCTTCGTCGACCGGATGATGGTGTCCGGGAGGCGACATGGGGGGTGGGGCTCGTGGGATGAGCGGGGGTCGCCCCCACGGCGGTGAGGTACTGCATGAGCAGCTTGGTGTTTTCCGTCTTGCCCGCGCCCGACTCGCCGCTCACGAGGATGCTCTGGTTCATGCGGTCGTCGCAAAGACTTTGATATGCAATGGCGGCGATAGCAAACACATGCGGCGGCAGTGACCTCGACGACGTGTCACTATCTGTAGCAGGAACTGTCGACGCAGCATACGCTTGAATGTGGGCCGGGGTGTACAGATTGAGGCGCTGGAACGGATTGAACGACAGCAGGATCTCACCCACATACGTGTAAATGACGTTCTGTTCGTAGCGATTGCACACGGCATGAAGCAGTTCGGGTTCGTGGAGGTATTGCAACGAGATCAAGTTGGGGACGTCCACGAAGTCGTCCACGTCGTTGCGAAGGTATACGCTGGCTACCCAATTGAAGTTGGTGAGTCGACGGAGGAAACATGCATGCAGATGTACCTGCGGACGTGCAAACATGTGTGCCATCTTCGTCCAGACGGACACGCACCGCCGAGTTGGCGTCGTCGTCGTCGCGGCAGTCGTCGATGACGCCAGCCTGCCATTGGTCTTCCGAGGAACTTATCCATACTCGCGCGCCGGTTTCCATCGCTGTCCAGATGTGGGTGGGTGAGGGGATTCTTTTATGCGCCGCCGCGAGCTTCAACCTCGCCCCACTTCGAGTTTCCTTCTCAGACCGTGATTGACGACGCTGCATTGTTGCCCGAGTCGTCAACAGCTGATCTCCGAGCACAAAAGGATCGACTTGATGTTTGTATGCAGAGAGAATCCACGGGAATTAAAATACAAGTGTATACAAAACGCAAGTACAAATGCATCCCACATCCAGGAACAAGGTGCACCATATTAACAAAACACGATCATTCAACCATCGACAAAACGAAAATGTAGGATTGGATTTGGTCACGTTTTATGAATCTGAAACCGACATTCGTACTGTAGTTGGACTACAGTGTAGTAGGTACTGTAGTACTGTGGTGTACCGTATGCAATGTGAACTTGCAAGTCTTCCATGACGCGAACGTACAGTAAGAAGTGTACCACAACAGGCTGTAGGCTGCGTCAACAAATCAGACTTGAATGTTCTCACCCCCCTTCTTTGTATCCCAGTTTCATTGATAAAGCTAACTTTACAGACTAACAGCAACTTTCGTGGGATTATTATTGTCGGGTAATACCAGACAATAATAATGCCACGAAAACTTGGTAGTAGAAGCCAACGACTGGTCGCTCGAGGTTGTACACTGTAGTACAGTATTCATTCAGTACTGTACTGGTACACTGTAGCTAGCTACTACCACCCTGATTTCTAGAACTTGAGCCTTTGGACGAGCTACTACATGAAGCTTATAATATGCCCCAATCTGCCATAGCAGAGTAGTACAGTATTATTGCCAGTCAATTGCTCAGAGTACCCCGCAACGTTATGAAACGTGGATCTATGCCAGGGGCCTTAACGTGGATCTATGCCAGGGGACTTCACTTGCCCAAAAGTCGTGAAAAATTGTTGTACAGTACAGTGGATGACTCCCAAATATCTCGCAAAACAAATTTTCTTCCAGTTGAATCTGAGACATTTTTGAAATAGAACCACGCTCGCATTTTGTGAAGACGAAAAAATCGTCTT